TCCTCAATGTTCTTGGTATTTTTAATTCTGAAGTCAATTGAATCCAAAACATCTGGCCTCACATCCATATTGTTCACTTTGATAGTGCTGAACAAAATAGCCCTTTAAAAATCATAGAGTCAGTTGAATTTCAGAACATCTACAGGTTCCATAATGGCAGATTTGGGCCAGCATTGAAATATGAGTGATCAGGAATCTGGTTCTTTTGTTCTGCTGAGAGCACATCCAAAATTTCCCCAGAGGCCGGCGCCATGGCTCAACAGGCTAATCCTCTGCCTTGCGGCGCTGGCACACCAGGTTCTAGTTCGGTCGGGGCTCCGGATTCTGTCCCTGTTGCCCCTCTTCCAGGCCAGCTCTCTGCTGTGGCCCAGGAGTGCAGTGGAGGATGGGCCCTGCACCCACATGGGAGACCAGGAGAAGCACCTGGCTCCTGCCTTTGGATCAGCACAGTGCGCTGGCCACAGCAGCCATTGGAGGGTGAACCAATGGCAAAGGAAGACCTTTCTCTCTGTCTCTCTCACTGTCCACTCTGCCTGTCAAAAAAAAAAAAGCCAAAATTTCCCCAGAGCAGATGGCCTATGTGAACCTGATCCATGAAGGCTTCAATGTAATTCTATTTAGGTCTCTGTGTAAGATAATGATCATGAACCGAAGGCCCTGATCACCATGAATCTGACCGAATCCAAAAGCAAAACACAGAGCTAATTATCACTGGCTCATTTTCAAAGGACTTACAATTCTGCATACGCTTGGTGCCCAGTGGCCCAGTTATAATTGGCTTTGTAGTTGAATTAAGCTTGGCTTTAAGTTATACAGTGGATAGTGTCTGTTTTCTCCCTGAAGACAAAAGCTGATATCCAGCAGAGTGTTGGCCTGAATACAGTCACCCTAAACCATAGAAGACGGCAGTGTTAAGTCACATGTGAGAAATGAGGAAGCTTTCTCAGTAAGGTGGTCAAAGTACCTATTGATAGATCTTAGCATTAAAAGTTCCTGTATGGGGCCAGTGCTGTGGTGTAGTAGGCAAAGCCTTTGCCTGCAGGACTGGCATCCCATAAAGGCACCTATTCATGCCCAAGCTGTTCCTCTTCTGATCTAGCTCTCTGCTTATGGCCTGGTAAAGCAGTGAAAGATGGCTCAAGTGCTTAGGCACCTGCACCCATATGGGAAACCTAGAAAAAAGGATACTGGCTCCTGGTTTCAGATCAGCTGAGCTCCAGCCTTTGTGGCCATTTTGAGAGTGAACCAGCAAACAGAAGACCATCTGCCTTCTCTCTCTCTCCATCTGTAATTCTACCTATCAAAGAAATAAATAAAATCTTTTTTAAAAAGTTCATGTGTCTATTTGGTACTTTATATAATGCATTTAAAGTTCAAGTGGAAATTTATCTTAATTTAATGTGTTATTTTTCTCATATAGGATTGTTGAAAGAAGAAATAGACTAAGTGTGTAGAACAACAATATATATGTGCTAGTAGAATATATGGCAATAAATTAACCCCTTCATTTTTTTACATGGAAAACCTTTGATCAAAGGACTAGAACATTTTCTTCTGGTTCAACTGTAGGAACTCTACTTTAGGGTTTCTCACTCCCAGGCCATATTGGTTTTCCTATTTCACTAGAACCCCCTCTTGTGGTGGGAAAAACACATGTAGGAACAAGCAACATGCAATAACCATCTAACACAGATGTTCAGGTATTTGGGTTCTTCTAGCTTTGATTTGGATGACCTTTGGAAATGGAGGTGACTGTTAGGATAATAGTGGCTTTTGTCAACCCTTTTTTAGGTTTTGATGTTGGTGTATGCTTATTGGAAGGTAGTTGTTCCTTAGGTTTGAACATTTACATTAATTAGAATTTGATGACAATTTCACCCCTTTACTTTTCTTCCCCCTTTATCTATATCCCCCCATATTTTTCACATGTAATTCCTCTGTGGTAGCCAAATGCTACATTTCCTACTTGTTTGATTATGTATCTGCTATTCTTTTCCTGGATCGGGTTTGGCAAACTATGATCTGATGTTAGATCTGACTGGCATCTATTTATAAATAAAGTTTTATGGAATAGAGCTATGTACACCTATTTATGTATTGCTTGGGGGCTGTTTTTTGGTTGTTCTAGTTTGTAATTGCAAAAGTGAGAAAATACAGAAATAGAGACAGATGGGCCCACAAGACTAAAATATGTACTATCTGGGCTGTATAGGAAAATTTTCTGACCCCTGTTCTAATTTTTCAATCTATTTATACTTTTGAGCACATGAATCTGGATGTATCATCCATTCATTGCACTGGAAACTGACAAGAATAGATGTGTTTCCATTGGGTTAAAATTTTGCAGGAAACAAATTTTGCAGGATAAAATTAACCATCCAGGTCATGGAGCTGAAATAGGTATTTAGCTAAAAACAGCATGAATTTGACTTTTTTGTGGGTCAAAATAATTTGAATTATGTAATTCCTTAAGGTCAACCCAATAATACTCCTAACATAA